TTTTAAGAACTGGCTTATTCACTTGATTCCCAAGCCTCCTTAGGTTTGACAGATGTTAAATCTCAATAACCCAGAAAAAAATAAAAATCTTTAATTAATCTGTATTATTTTATGCACTAAATGTTTGAATGTCAAATTCCTAGTATTGAATAACAGTAATAATTAAAGAACAAAATTGCAATAAGAAATAGTGTAAATTAAATCTCATACATGTAAAGTATAATGATTATGGGTACTAGAACAAAAATTTCTAATAAAAAATTATTGTTTATTCATGTATTTGCCTCAGGTCTCTATTTCATTCTCAAATCCAGCAAATAAAGCCAGGAAGGGAAATGCTGGCATGTTTTTCAAATATTTTCAACATATCGTAAAAGCAACACTGACACTCAGATGGACCAGATTGAACCCAAATTCAACCAATAAAACACACTATAGATTGCTTGATCTTTTATCCCTTTCCTACTCTTTCAGAGCACAAGAAAAATGGAGTCACCAAAGTTTCAACTGAAGTTAGTGATAGCTCAGGTCTTTTACCTGGTTTGACTAATTTAACATCCTAGTTTTAAAATAAGAGTGTGGGCCAGCAGAAGGCATGGCGGCCCGGGTTCCAAATATCACGTGGTTGACTCTACAGTTGGAGTCCCAGATCAGGCAGCTTAAGAACCACACTGGGAGTGTGTGCATATGTGCCCCAAATCCTGAGAGGACATGGAGGAGAAGGGGTTACAGCATGGTCAGCCCCCTCGGGGATGGCTTCTCTGTCTCTCTGTCTCTCTTTGGCAAGTGCTGGTACTCTGAAGCAAAAACCTAAAATAAATATTAAATTGCTTCATATCTGGTAAAGTTGAGATTTTTATAACTTCATTTTTAATTTGTAATAAAAGTTTACAACTTGTTTTTTTCAAAAAAAAAAGTCAATAAGCTGTAAGCCCCTGTTAATGAAGGTCTTAAATAATTTAAATAAATAAATAAATAAAAGGAAACAAGTGAAAGCAGTATAATTTATCTCTCTATACCTATTAACATCTATACCAAAAATTTTAAGTAGCTCTGAACCTTCTATCAAAATATCAATGGGATATGGTTATTATAAATAATTTAACATAAAAATTAATTTTATGTTATGGAACAAAATGTTGTGAAGTCACAGTAATTACTTCATTTAGAAGTACTTTAAACATAACAAAATATTCTTGGGACCAGCAGAAGGTATAATAGTTATTTCACTGGACTCCCATGTAGTCAACTGTGATTCAAGTCCCGGACGCGGTGGCTTGAAACACACACCGGGTGCTTGTGAGTAAGTGCCCAAAACCGTAAGAGGAGAATGGAGGAATAGGGATTGTGGTGTGGCTATTCCCCCTGGGAGTAATTTCTCATTCTCTGTCTCTCTGTCTCTCTGATGAACACATGCACTCCATGGCAAAAATTCCCCTAAAAAATATGTTTTCTTAGCATAGGAAGAATGAAGCTTGGAGATAGGTATTTAGTTAGAGGAACAGTTCAATAGAGACAGACAAAACAGGAATATTTATAATTCAAGTCATGATTAAGTAGGAGGTAAATAAAGATACAAGCGATGTGTTAAAGGATTTTCTGAACAAAATGTAACTTGGCAGAGATGGAGGGATATATAGGAATGTCTAAATAGTTATGAATATTGACTAGCTACATATTTTTATTCTATGGGAGTCTGAATAATATGTTATAATGGAATACACTATGGGGCAAAAAATGATGGAACCAAATAAGGGATTTTATGGTATGTCAGATAAATAGAAATATGAATTTGTGTTTATTTAAATGTGGAAATATTATTCCACAAGTATGATAATATCTCTACTGAGCCTATTAGCATGGTAGGGAACTGTGTTTCACACATTACTGACAAAATAGGACATAACCCTTGTGCTCTAAAAGCAAATGCTGAAAGCTGTTGAAAAAGGAAAAAAGAAAATCTTTCATGTAAATATGCTCTGAAGCATTTTGAAGAAACAGATCATTGACTTGGTGCAAAAGCTTTTCCAGCCTATCATGTAAACACACATTTAATGACTTTGTAAATTTCAGGTCAATGGTCCAATAGACCAAAAAGTGTTGGAGCTGTGATAGTGCATTCTGCAAATGCATATTTAGGGAATTTAAAAATTGCAGATTATTGACTTGATTATTGATGCAAAGTAGGCATTGCAGTTTATCAGGTAATTAAATATCCTATCATAAAACTACATTTATAGAATGCACTCACAGTTTATGAGCAGAATTAAATGTAGTATCACTTTTAAAACTATTTGATTGATTTAAAAAAACATTAAGTATATGTATATCTTTCATGAGAGAGAGACAAAGAGAGAGAGAGAAAACTACCCTCAATGGTCTACCTCTTCACCATCACCACACCCTTCCCAGTCTGCCAGGATTATGGGTTTGTAATCCCACGGTGCTCCCATGAGCTAGACAGCCAAGCTCATTTTCTTCCATCAGGGTTTAGCATGGCTTGAGTATAATTAATATTGCTGGGCCATGCTTGATTTTTACACTCCTTTTGATACTTCTTTTGTTCTTCCCATGTTTCTTTCACATATAAATATGTTCGACTACAACAAATCTATAGAATTTTACACATTTTCATATGGATTTTCAATAAACTACATAAATAAAGTATCAAAAATATTCATTATGTTGTGACTTCATCAATCATAATTGAGGTAGTGGGTTTGGATATATAAAATATATCTATTATAAAATAACTTGAAATATCTCCTTTTGAATGTTCTGTCAAATACATTCATGTTTTGAAGTTAATAAAGGACTTGAGTTTTATCTCTTCTCTATTAGTTGAGAGCTTAAGCATGCTTTCCTGTTTATGCTGCCCATAACGGATTTATTCTGTGTTGATGAACATTTACATTTTTAGTGATAATCGGAGTGATATCTGTTAATATGAACCTAATTCATTAATTTACACTATAATCAGCCACTGGCTAAACATTATTTTGTCCACCAGAAGACCTGTGTTAGTAAAAGTAAAATTAAGGTGTGGCATATTTTCAAAATATAATTTAAGAATGACATTTGCCCCTGTATGAGTTTTCTTTTGAAATTCACATTTAGCTTTGGGGTCAGAGTGAAGAAGCTCTGAATCAAATGAGGTTTCATATATTAGTTATCCAAATAAGTAAAACAACAAATATAACAAAACCCTTCAAGTCCAAAAGAAATATGGTTACAGGTGATACCTAAAACATTTTCCAGAAATGTTTCTTATTATTTAAAATAATCACACAAAGAAAATATTACCATTTGTTTTTATATGTCTGTCTATCTATCTATTTAGGTTTTGCAACAGGGCACTTGCACTCACCAGAGAGAGGAAATATGAGAAATCATCCCCGGGGGATGTTCACACCAAAGTTTCTTCTCCTCCATTCTCCTCTCAGGATTTTGGGCATGCACACGCCCAGGGTATAGGTCAAGCCAGGTCCAGGACTCAAACTCTGGTGAGTCATGTGGGAATCCAGTGCCTTAACTACCATGCCATCTGCTCGTCCCTTGACATTTCTAAATTAAAGAATATTTTAAGCATTTACTAAATACTTTCCTAAACTTTAAAAATAAATATACTCAGTATTTCCATAAGTTCTACTTGTACCAATTATTATGTGGGAATTGGCCCATCTTTTCATTCTTTTCTTTTCTTTTTTTTTTTTTTTTTGGTTTGCACTTAAATTATACAACATCTTTTTTAAAGGGAAATACCTGAGTACCTTGTTGCCTAATATCATTTTTAGAAATAATTCTTCCCAAAGGTTATGATTATGTGAGTTTCCACACCTGATTTCCAGCCTACCTCTCCTGCTCAGCTCTTTGCAGGCCCATCACATAATGGTGCGGCACCAGCTGGCCCAGAGGCTAATGCGCTCAGCTCTGACAACTCCTCTCTGCCTCAGAGTCTTTAGTTAGCTTTCCACCCAAAAAACTCTTCCCAAATGTGCTAGGCTTTAATATTTCAAAATGAATGAAACCCCATTTCTTTTTTGCAGGTACCTAAAATCAGGACTCTCTGTTATCTTTCAGATGTGACTCTTCTTTTAGTTCATGAGTTCATCTAACTTTCCTTCCTGACTCTATTTCATCTTCTTGGAAAAAAAAAAATCAATAGAAGTCTGCCTACCTTCTTGTTTGGAAATGATGCATCTTGATTTCACATTTGACTATTTTAAAAAGAGATAGTTAAATACACTGTTAATTTGGTGACATCTTAAGTTTGGTATAAGACACAATATTCTTTGAGTGCCCAGGGTGCCTAACTTCATGTAGATATTTATGTTTTATTATTATTAGTTTTTCATTCAGGGAGGGAAGGCATTGGCATTGCTGTTAGGAAGATGACAAAACTGTGAATAAAGGTTGAATGTAGGTTAAAGTTTTATAATGAAGAATGCCAATAATGCCATTTAGTAATTAAGGTCCTTTATGTCACTTAAATAAGGTATTCAACATCAGTAATTCCTCACTCCTTCCGTGCATTAGAATCACCTGGAGAACTTAGACACAGAAACCCTCAGAGTACCCTAGGTAATTTGGTTTAGGTGGGAATTAGCCAGGGGCATTGTGTTAAAAAATTTTTTTCGGGTGTTTAATGTGCAACTAAGCCTGAAGAAAATTTACTCCAAATTTTGTTATTATTTATTAGTAAGGTAAAATCTTTGGTACTTCATGAAAAATTTTGAGTTTGAATATTCTTCCATTTTTATTTGTCAGAGCTGTTGTTCACTGCTATCTCTTCAGAACATAAAATACTTTGGACATAATGAATACCCAGTATTTACTGATTTAAGAAAATAAGAATAAATGAATAACTTTAACACATTTATACTCCATTTACCACTGTTGATTATTCTACTATTGACAATATCTCATAATACTATAACAAAACTATGTTTTATGAGTTTCTGAATCATTTCGTGTTCTTATTTTGCTCTAATGATTTTCAGTCTTTAGTGCATCACAGATCAACTGGAGACTGACTGAAACACAGATTGCTGGGTGTCTCCTCCAGAATTTCTGATGCTCTGAGTCTCGAGTGAAGCATGGAAACCTGTACTTCTAACAAGTTCTGGGGGACAATGACGCTGCTGGTGAGGAAGCCACAGTTTAAGGACTGCTTTCACACGCAATGTCCTCTTTTTGAAATCTCTGAACCTTATCCAAGGACCTTCACAAAGATCTGACATACCCTACCTGCTGATGTGCTTGGCCCTCATCAAATTGCCCTACAGAAGTTAGGATTAGGAACCTCACCACGGTTGTATGGCTTTTGCTACTCGTGTGGGTAATGACATCCTTTATCTCTGACCCAGGAGTCTGATGTTTTCTGCCAGTATCTGGTATTTATTAAACTGTGGATTTAAAATAGGATAAATGCTCTGATGAGTCACAATTTTCAACAGTAGATATGAAATAAAACCTCAACTCTAGGATTTTAATTCTTTATACCATGATGAGCAAGCAGTTTTCTTTATTTGTTGTATCGTAACATTGACATTGACATTGAAAATATCTATAGCATTTTTAATTGGAAGCCCTGAGTAGTTTCACCTCTTCAGAAAGTCTCAGCTTTGAGGTTAAGTGGGGTTCTTACAGTTCATAACTCACATGAAAATGGAAACATAAAAAGGAAAACAAAATTTTCATCCCAACCAAGCCAGAACAAACAAATGCTATGACCGACTTTTGCTACAGCCTAGACATTCATTTATTTTAGACTTAATTCTGTAAACAAACAACAATAACAATAGATCAAAATGGCTTAAATAATCTTGTCAAACAGAATGGCATATCCAGGAGAGCTTAATGACTGGTCTTTGAGATTAACTCAGCACATAACATGTGGATTAGTATCTATCAAGCTGTAGAGGAGGGTTGGTGTTATTCCTTTTTGAAGTAAACAAGCCATTTGAAGTTAAAAGGTTGATCATTCCTCCTCATTCTCATAGTCCCCAGTACATTCTAATGAAAAGGTAGATAAGCCTCTTAAAATGTTTTTCTTGCATTTCAATCATTTTCATCTCATTAGTCATTCATAACAGCAAGTTGGATCAGCAGGAAATATTGTAGCTGACAAATAAAAATGGTGAGACATATTCCCTTCATTATTTCCGCTCTGATCCTTCCCCCTTGTCTCTTCTTCATCATGAATGATCCCCTGAGAAGAGAGTTTTTGACTCATGTTTAAATATTTTTCTTGTGCTGTCTTGTTATTAACATTTTTTACTTTGCTGATGCTGGTATTTTATTTCTCAATAATTTTAATGTTTTTTATATCCAAGAGCGTATTTTTTTTTTATTCTGGGAGTTTGAATATTTCACTAATCAAGACAATGTTTTACCATTCATAGAGCATGAGTTCAGAAATTCAAATTTATAACGAATGCTTGTTTCCACTCAATCTTTCATAAGAAAACCCGTTTTTAACTAACATCTATTGATACTCTCAAATGGCAATAGAACATAATACATAATCATTTAGTACGGTACTTTGTAGCACAGAAAGTGTAGGTTACCACACCTTGAAAGTTCATTTTATATGCTGTAATGATACATATTGAATGGATGTAAAATAAATGAAGTGTTTTCATATCTTTAATTTGACCTGATAATGTATAAATATGGATTTTCTTGTTTTGATTGCAATTTAATTAGGTTTCCACCTCAGTGTTCTTTCTGTTTACCTGAAAGTTAAAGGGAAAACCAAGATTCCTTCTTGTCATTAAAATAGCTTTTTTTGTTTAAACAGTAATTAAATTAATGATAAATTCGAGGAAGAGGAGGGGGAGGAGGAGGAGGAGGATCCCGGACATGAACCATGGTCGACTATACGAGAATCCAGTGATGTAACTATTACACAATCTGCTGGTCCCTATTAACTTTCTCAGTGTTGAGAAACTCTAATACTAAGTGTCGCAAAGGTAAGTTGGGAACACTTCTTGAAACAAACAAAAATCAAATAAAGTCCAGAGGTACTATTAATAACTGCCAAGATCAGCTTCTCTAGGGAGGTTGGAGACATTATCCAAGTCACATGCTAGTGGGAAAAAAGTGATTCAGTCAGGGAAAAGAGATCAAATAGTAAAGTATTGGCCAAGTGTTATAGAACATCTACCATAGAATTTGTCTCTCTCCCTAACCACTGAAGGTCTAACATCATGTGAAGATATTTTTAGCAAAACTAGAGATCTTATGAGTTCATTTGTCACATAACAATAAAAAATATGAAAATTTTTCCAGATTTGAAGAATAGCTGTAAGCAAACATGAAATATGAAGGCGATTTCCCTGCAAGGGGAAAAAAAATCTCTCATGGCCAATCAGGCAATGAATTTCCTTCTCAGAAAGTGTGACTCAGATGTGAGAGAGATTCCCCCCAGGACTGGGAACAAAAAGCTCATTAACCTTCTACCCAGTTGGGCTAAAACACCTGAGACTAATATTGGAACTAGAAAAACCAAGAGCCTGTCGCTATTGGTTTTTAAGTACTAGGAAGAGAACTAAAAGGCATGGAGTCCAGGTGGTGTTTTCATCGTTTTTTCCCATTGAAGGTCATACCTTTGGAAGAGAAAAGAGGACGTGAGAAATGAACAGCTGCTTACTTAAATGGCGTCAAAGCCCAGGATTTACTGTTTGGACCATGCTTGTGCTAACAGAACCACTGGTGCCCACAGAGACTGAGTGCACCTCATGGCCAGAGCTCTGTTTTTCAGGACTTGACTGACATAATCAAGATCCTTAAATCTCAAGAGGAAAGTTGATGCCACATTAAAGAGCAATAATAAATAATATGGTTAAGTATCAAGTAAAAATAGAGGGAGAAAAACAGCAGTTCTTATAACTATTATTTCTAAGGAAAAAAAGGATACAACTGGATGTCTTTCTATTTCTTTAGTCCATATATATATGCATATACATACATATATGTATATATTAGATTATTGAATATCATTACAGCATGCAAAATTAATTTCCCCAGCATGAATTCACTGAATATTAGTCCAGTTAAACATAATATGCATGTTACCATCAACAAATAATTTTCCAGTTTTGCATCCTTTGAATGTTTTGTTTGTCTTTCTATAGAACAATGCTGAGATTCAGGATAAGAAGATTAATATGCAATCTGAACAGAAAGAAGAACAAATACAGGATGGAATATAGATCTAAATTGCTACCGACTCTAGTGGGTGGAGGTCAGAGATACTGCTAAACATCTGAAAATACCAAAAAAGAACCTAAAAACTGCCCATCACAACAAAGAATTTTCCAGCACAAAATGCTAGTAGAATCTATGCTGAGAAACTGTGCTCTAGTGAATAACATAGCACCAAGAATATATGAAATATTATATACATATATAAAGCTACACATTATTATAATGAGAACAAAAGAGAAACAGCAAAACAAGCTATCATGACCATGTGAGAAGTCCTTATCCAATCTGGAAAGCAGTTTATAGACTAAAGAAAGTGAGACCTCAGCTCACTTGCCTGTATACCACTGTTTCAGCCACATCCATTGATAAGGAAGCAGAGGAAATAACTCCAGCAGTCAGAAGTTAGAGTTACAGAATAGCAGATTTAAACTCTACATCGGAAGCTACCAGCTTATGAGCTATGCAAGCTTTTTTTAATGAACCTCAGTTTTTAATTTTTTTAGTCTGTAAAATGCCAATGAAAATAGTTTCTACCTCTTAGTATTTTTGTAGGAATTAGGTGCAATCATCAAAAGAAGGTACTTAATGAGATGCTTGCAATACTAAGTGCAGTGCAAATAACTTATTTACTACTATTCATTTCCTTGGTTTGCACTTTCTTCACTTGTAAGTGGTGGGTATTTGATAGAATGCCCTCCAAAATAAAATGGAAGAACCAAAACTATTCTTCATTTCTTAAATCCTATGTAAACTCAGTAACTAAAATTAGAATAAAAATTACACTGAAAAATGAATTTAAAAGTTGCTAAATAGTGACATGAAGTCATAGTGTACTAAATTCTAAATACAGTGAATTTTGAAGAAAATACTAAAAAAAGATCAAAAGAAGTTTTATATGCTGTGCTGAGTATGAACACAAGAGAATACAAACTGGCAATTTGGGAAAGATGAAAGAGGGGATAGATGAATTATGGAATTTCTACTCAGATTTAACTTTTCTTAAAAAAAAATCAAACATGCTTAAGAGCCTCATCGAATTGGGAAAAGGCTAGAATTAATGTTTGATTTATTGAGTTAAAGTCTAAAGACATAGGGCATTAAAAATCAGAATAAGAGATAAGATGCTAAATTAGACCAAAGGTCCTTTCCAATGGCTGGTCTCCAACTCTACAGGGCAAATTTCAAGTTTACTAAGTAGCATTTCAGAAGTATACAGGGTGCTATTTAAAGAAAATCTAATGAAAAGGGCCTGAAAATATTATTATACTATTTCTATCGGTATTTCTAAGGAGATATTAATGGGTAGATTCTAGAAACTCTAAACTAATATTTCCACTGTATCAGTCTATTAAAAAAATGTGTCAGGACCCCAGAACAATAGACTTGATAGAGATTATTTAGCCAATGGTGTGGGGCACTTAAAAAATTAATTACAAAAATTAATTAAGAAAATAATTAATTACTTGACACTACATATGCACATGCGTGTGTGCGTGTCCGTGGATGTGTGTGTGTGTGTGTGTGCATGTTGCAATGAAGTATGGAGAAATGAAGGAGAGTGGATTGCTGCCTGATCAGGCCGCAGTGAGGGGTATTTCCTCCCCATCTCTCTCTCTCTTTTTCTCAGTCTCTCTTTGGTGACTTTAGACCTTAGCAGACTTTAGACTTTAGCAGATCTCTGGGGTCTGCTAAAGTCTGCTCTTCAGTGACATTACACTGAAATATTAATGGTAGGTTTCAAAATTCAGTATAAGGTAAGAGTTTTGTGACTATGCAAAGTCATGCATTGAAAGACAAAAATGTATCAGTTTGCATGCTCAATATGAACCATTAAAGCATTGTGACTCACCATGCACCTGTGTGAGCATGCCCAAAACCCTGAGAGGATGGTGGAGGAGAAGGGATCAGATTGCAGTCTGGCCACACACACACACCCCCAGGGGTGATTTCCACTTTCTGTCTCTCTGGTGGGATTTCTCACTTCCTGTCTTTCTGGTAAGTGCACACAACCTATAGCAAATCTCTCTCTCTCTCTAAAAAAAAAAAAAAAAAAAAAGTGTTGTGACTATTAAAACAGAACAATCTCTGCTGATATAATTTTGGCTGCACTGGAAAATATACATATATATACATATATATGCACACAGCATATATAATAGTCTCACTTTGCTTGAGTCACATGGGTCTTGGAATTCTGTATTGTCTTCTGGGTGCTGTTTTGTTTTGTTTTGTTTTGTTTTTTTAAGATTATTTTAAACAAGAGTTAATCTAAAGAAGACTGAATAGGATAAAGAACAATTTTGAAGTACTGTGATTTTAAAAGGGATTCAACAAGCTGGGTGCTTTTCCTCCCCACACCCCGCTTCTTAATGAGGGAAAGATAGAAGTATTCATGACATGGTCTCGCGATGCCAGGACCTACTTGCCCCACCTTCCAGCTAGCTAGGATCACAGGGGTACCAGCAGGGCTGGCCTGTTTCAGGCTGTTCTGGGAACCAAGTCCAGGCCCCCAATGCAGGCCCAGCCTGATGTGATGGAACCCTACTGTGGCTGCCCCACTGCGGCTGGCCTGAGCTGGAAATGTTTTGTTTTATTTGTTGTTTTGTTTTGTTTTTTTTTTGAGAGAGATTTTCACTGTAGGGCGCGTGCGCTCGCCAGACAGACAGAGAGAGACATAGAGACAGAAAGCGAGAAATCACCCCCCAGGGGGGATGGTCACGCCGCAATCCCTTCTCCTCCATTCTCCTCTCGGGATCTTGGGCACACACGCACACGCGCCCGGCATGAGTTTTAAGCCACCGGGTCCGGGACACGAACCGCGGTCGACTACGTGGGAGTTCAGCGACATAGCCATTACGCTAACTGCTGGTTCCCATGAGCTGGAAATGTTTTAAGTTGCTAAATAAATGCACGTGACAGTTGTTCATGACAATCACGTTCAAATATTTGAAGAGCACTCAAATGGCAAAGAGCATTTTGATAGATCTTTGTGTGGGTGTGATGAACTAAACCAGAAAAATATTCTTGTTGGCTAAAATCTAACCTTGAATCAAGACTCAAATGATTCACATGTAGTGGCCTGACCTTACAGTAAGGGACTCTCATGGCTGGAAGTCTCGGCTAAGGGGAGAATGACTTCTTACAGAAATACTGTAGGTCGCGTGCTGGTGTGTGGTGCAGATTTGGACCAGTTTCTTGAAGCTTTCTTACAGGTTTCGTACTTAGCTAATACAAAGTTTGCAGGTGCAAGCCATTTGTTTAAAATTATGAGACTATTTAATAACAGAAATAAAATTTTAAGCAGGGGTTTTTAGTCCTCTTCCAACATGGATAGCTGATTTTTCTTGAATAGTTATAGATGCCAATTTATATATTTGTAGCCATTTTATTTCTATATCCCATTTTAAATGGCCACAAAGTCATGAAGAAGATGAAATTGTGCTTTTTGGTTTACAATAAAAATTAAGACATACTATCAATTTTCAAATCAAAAGTGACTTAATCTTAACTCTAGAATGTCAACCGGGATTCAAGCATATAAAGAGTAAAAAGTATATCTCACAACACTTCATAACAGCCTATATTTGATAACTGTGTGGATATTTTAAGTTATTAGAATATATTAGTCTATCATAAAACTAGCTCTAGAAATTTTGGCTTTAAGGAAATTCCTCTTTCCTTGAATGAATGAAATATAAGATTTTGGAAATAACTTCTTAATGACTTCCATTTATTTTTGAAGTCTGTAAACATGCTGTAAAAGAGCAATACGCTTTGGCGTTTCCCTTCAACAACTCCCCACATTACAGATAACTATGTATAAATATGGCCTAGCAAACTAACCTGGAAATAAATGTTCTTTCCATGGCTCAGTTCCTGACCATAATCAGCCTGAATGAGTGAAAGATCTATATTGCACACCAGATCCTAAGTCATCCAGCTCTCATAAAATGCCTGGGAAGTGATTATAAAATGAATTAACCATAATCTTGACTGAGGTGTCAGTTGCACATATTTAATTTTGCATGTTTTTAAAGGCTAATAAATCAGGTGGACAGAAATATATGCCAAAAGCCATAACAATTTCTCACGGAGTTAGAGGAAGTATGTTTTCTGTTACTTTAATAAATACTCATTTAGTTAAAGTTTCTGCCAATGAAACACTATAGTCCTCCAACACCCTAAACAGAAAAGTAACATTGAACGACTTAAAATTATTTGTAACTCTCACTATCTATGAAAGAAATGAGAAAGCATGAACACTGAAGTGATATACTTCATATAGTCACAAAGATAGACTCCTTCTGTGGTTTTTGTCTTATTAGCTGTGTGATTGGGCATGTCACCTTTTTGTTCATGTTTTCTCACCTGTAAAATTAGAGTATTAATAGTAACACTGCATTGGATTGTTGTGATGGTTAGATAGAACGATGAATGTGACGCACTTGGGACAACCTGGCATAGTGACTGTCCCAAGCCCAGCTGCTGCTGCTGTCATTCCTGTTAACATGATCCTTCTTTTGATATCTGTTTACAGGATGTGCCTCATACATATTTGGTAAAAGGCCCCTCTGTTTTTTACACATAAAATATGATTTTCTACCCATTTATACAAGGATTGTGGTTATACACAAAACCATAGATCATCAAAAGACGTAGGCCTGGGTAAGACCTTTGTGCAAACAGCATTGATCCACACTAGTTAGTGTTTCCTCTCTGGGCAATGCAGCCCAACATTTCCCCCTAAGCTCCTAAGGCAGAGCTTCCCACAGGCCCTATCCTGAAACATTGCTTGTCACTTGAATAGCCAATAAAAAAGCACAACCGAACAAAACTCCGGAAGTTTCAATGCCAAGTAAACTTAGGAAACAGCACATTTGAACAGCGAGCTTTGCTGCATTTAAGGTGACTCAGAATTCCCTGCCTTTGGAAAACAGCAGCTCCATTTCTTCCTGTAGTTGCTTCTCCTGTGTTATGTGCAGTACTGGTAGCAGTGTAAATAACTAAAACCCGGTATATAGAAAAGCCGTGTCTATGTAACGGAAGCCAGCCAACTGAAGTCTGTCTCCTATGGGATTGAATCTTACCTTGAGTGACCCAAGGGCTGACATGACCAACCGAAGGGCAAGTGAGTGCCTGCATTTCATGTTGGTTCTCTGAAAGGATTTCTGATAAATGCTTACAGCTTTTACCCTGGCTTCTGTCATTTTAAGCTTATTCTCTCTTTCTTGTCAATTCTGTGAATACCCTCGCCTACAATCTAACTAACCTAATGGAAAGGAGAAAAATAAACAAAATACATGCAACCTGCCGACTAGCCAAGAAGAAAAATATATATGTATATTTATAAATATCTTGTATTTCTATGTATCTATTGCCTATCTATTGATATATCTATTTTTTTTTTGTTTCACTATGTTTTACCCAATACTGCTCAATCTGACCACAGAATTCTTCCTCCATGGCTCACACTTTCATCCCCCAAACGTCTAAGATCATCAACCATCATGCTCTGAGCAACATGATCTGGGGCATCAATGCAGCCCTGAGGAATGGGTGTGGTCCGGACAAGCAGTCTTGCATCCCACATCCCCTACACATCTGCTACATCCTCCCTCCATTGGCACCTGTCTCCCCCACTGCATCTCAGCAATGGAGTCACTTTTCTCAAGGACTGAAAAATCCACACCACCACAAGAAAACTCATTTTAAATCATATCATCTGGGCTTTTGCAAAGGAATGTAAAGTTATGCCATCTCCTATTAGGTTAGAAATGAGATCAGAATCTTACCTGGGTTAATGGATTTTCCCCACTGCTTTCATCCGTATTGGTTGAAGGCAATTAATCAATAAGCAAGGACAAGAGGTGAAAACATATGGTCTTTGATATTTAATAAATGAATTAGTGGAATCCTTTGCTTAAGCATATAAATTAGTAAGTGTTAGGTCCTTTACTTAATGAGGAATTTCCTTTTAAAAACCTGAATGAATTATCGAAAAGACCATGGCAGAAATTCAAAGGCATTTTCTGACCTTCTTGTATTCCGGCCAGCATGAATTTTTAACAAGATGCTGTGTATCTAGAAGGTCTATTGGAAAGTGTTCATATGGGGGGAAAAAAGAAAAAAAAATTAACTAGTAAAGAGAAGGAAGCATCTCAGACAGTGAGAGAATATTTAACTTGTGGGAGAATAAGGTTTTGAAAAAAATATTTGCAATCTCATATTTTGCCCTAAAATACTGATAAGGAATCATAAAAACTTATTTTATTGGTGATTTAGTATTCTGTTCTATTTAAATTTTTTAACAATGAGGATGAATGGAAATACAACTGTTAACTCATATTTTAATGGTAAACCTCCTAGGTAAAAATAAGTTTCCTGGTTTGTATATTATTGCATACAAACTGCATACTCTTGATTTTTAAGGTGGTTATGAGTCTGGCTCCATGGACTGGCAGTTAAAGCAGCAGCCCCATCAGACGGTGAAATGCACCCTTCAAGTGTGGACCTGAGCCCAGAGGCTTGAGAAACACGTCAGGCAAGTGTGCGTGCATGCCCCAGATCTCGAAAGGGAGCGGTGAGGTGTGGGGATTGCAGCTGACCTTCCCACCACGGGAGTGCTTTGTCCTGTCCCTCTTGCTGTCTCTTCCTGGCAACTGCATTATCTCTCTAGGAAATAAAAGAAAGAAGTCACTTTTGGTGCCCAATGAGGGAGCTGATGGTTAGTGCTCTACCGCAGTAGACGGCCACTCTTACAAACCAGTGAGGTTCTGTATGTCAAAGGCATTCAACAGTGCTGAGAAACTTATGTGTGGAAGTGATTCATGCATCTGTAAGAGGCATGGACAAGTTAACTTCTAATATTTTATGCGAGTTTGGAATGTGGTCATCTCATGGCCATGTTTGAATCTATACCGAGAGCGTGCTTAGGACAATGCAGTATACTTAGTGATATTATTATGAAAGAAAAAATGTTGTTTTTAATCATAAAGGTAACATATAAAGTAAAATATTTACATGGTACAAAAAATTAAGTAATAAAGATACTATAAAGTGTATGTGTGTGTATATATATATATATACTTAACCTAAACTCAATAGCTTATATTTTGACAAAAGCATTAGAGGCCTTTTTTTTTTACTTTTTTTAGAATTATTTTATTTACCTTTATTCTTATTTATTTATTTATTTTAAAATTTATTTAATTACATTTGCTGTTGTTATTATTATTTTTCAATTTGCAGAGAGAGACACACACACAAAGAGAGAGAAAGGGAAAGTGAGAAAGCGAGCCACCAGGTCCAGTGGGAGTCCAGTTCCCTTAACCACCATGCCACGTGCTGGTCCCTAGAGGCCTTTTTATTAACCCAGTTTGACTTGTGTTCACGATATGTATATATCAGCTGTGCTTGCTATTGAAAATATTTAGATTTATTAAGATATTTAGTGAAACAATAAAATGGGGGAGGCACAGAAAGCAACAATAGATACCAGACACAGTGTGGGAGGAGGGTGGGAGATGGCAGAGGGTGAGATAGGGAATTAAGGATGGGAAAAAAGGCAAAATATACAGGAAACAAGAAATGGAAAATTATTTGTTGACAATAACACGTATGTTGATGTGCTTGATTGAGCCAATATACAGTGTATTCTGCATGGAAAAATCTCATTTTGTATGCTGTAATGATGTACAGTGAATGAATATAAATATAAATAAATAAATAAAAGAGAAAAATAAGAAGGCCGTGAAATTGCCTACGAAGCTATTGCAGGTTTACTCAATATGATCACTGTGCTTTTTATCTGGATTTTAGGTTAGATAATGGTGATAGTTGATGCTGATAGTCATTACCCTAATGTCCATAATCGCCCAGTGTAAACATTATTACCTGCAATGTTTAAAAAAAAAACCGTTATGCTAGAGGGTGTGTGTGTGCCAGAAAGAGAGAGCAAGACAGTGAGAGTGACAGCCTCCCCTGCCCGCCATGCGGCTGGGCACACTGCAGCCTGTTCCCCTCTGCTCCACGCCTTCAGGATCGAGGCCTGCCGTCCCACGCACCCAGCATGAAGCCAACACCACAACCCAGACTTTCACCGGCCACATGGGATCTGGCTTCCTCTGCACAGCACTTAACCGCTGGGCCCCAGGTTCCGTACTTTAAGCTAATTGTGAAATCCAGAAAAGTCAAAGCTATATATGTCATTTTTTTCCAATAGAATTCAGAAGCTTTAGAATTAAATTAAATAAGAAAAATTTTAAGTATTTAATATTAAAGTGTTTCTTTCCAAGTATACAAAGAAATGAACTTTAATGATTTTAGGAAAATATAACCTATGAATATGAAAGATCTGTAACAAATTAATGTCACAATGACCTATTACCAATTTCCAATGAGGAAGCACATCCCTGTTCTCAAGCTTGGACCCTTACTTTATTTCTGAACATAGTTTAATAATATATTTGCCCATTTATTTTTCATTGATAAAGAAAATAATATCATGGAAGGCAATTATTAAAATCCTGCATTTGGGGACCAGCGGAAAACATAATAGTCACGTTGCTGGACTCCCATGTAGTCTACCACTGTTTGAGCCCTGGACCTGGAGGCCTGAAACTCATGGTAGGTGCGTATGCAGGCTTGCCCCAAATCCTGAGAGCAGAATGGAGGAGAAGGGGTTGCGGTGTGGCCACCCCCTTTCTCCCACCCCCCGGGGTGGTGTCTCACTTTCTGTCTCTCTGGCTAGTGCACGTGCCCTATAGCAAAAATCTCTCTAAAAAATAAGTTCTACATTTTCAATAAAGGTAGACTATGTGGGTCAGCCCCAGCCCTAGTGCAGCGGGTGCACATCACAGAGAAGGCAGATGCCACATGGCTGCCCAGAACATGAGTGGTAGCTTAAAAACACCAGGCCCACACGTGTGCCCAAGATCCTGCCAGGATGGAAAACGGAAGACGAGGGACTGCAGCTTGGCCAGTCCCCATTGGGGAAGCCTTGCTCGCTTTCTTTTGGGAACAAACAAGCTGTCATTAAAAACAAAGCAAAAGAAGAACAAAAAACACCATTATACTTATAATAAGCATTTGAAGTGGTTATAAATAAGATCAATGTTATTGAATGGAAAGCTTTTAGGAGTGCCATTCAGCATTCACAGAAGCAATTAGGGTCATCCTTCCTGCTACCAGTTACAAAGCTCTGCTGGGTTCTCTGGCAGGTAATGGCAGTGCCAGACGGAGTGGCAAGTACAGGACCATGGCGGCCGATTGAGGAGATGCCGAGAGGTCAAAGAACCAGCCGGGCATTGCTTCTTAAATTGAGAAAGAAGAGCAGATCCATTTGAAAAGAATGTCTTAAAACCTCTTATATTTAACTTAAATCGCTTTATTAGTATATTAAATGTATGTGGATATGTAGAAACCTAACACTAAGTAATCTCATAGTTTTAAAGAATTACAGAAACAAAGCAGAATTACAAAATATGTAATAGTCGAGATTGAATTAAAATAGTTAAGACTAATTTACTGTGACAAATGATGTTGTTTTACTGAAACCAAATTGCTGATTATACCGCAGAAGTAATATTGACTGCTACGGACCAGGTTCTTGTAAGCCCTGAGGCCTTCCTCTGCATTATTTTGCACAATTCGATTAGCTGTTCCACAGCATCACTGGAACGAATGAAAACCAGAACTAATGAAAACCCTATTGGCACGCTGAGCTGTGTGAATTGTGAGCTCCTCCCCTTTTCTTGGAATGAAGACATTTTTCACTTATTAAGCCAATCTCTGCTCTTTAACTATTTGCCCTCCATAGTTACGTCAGACCTACATTTGGTATGAATAAGATTTTTAATCTGAATTGAAATACTATGAAGAATATGGCTTTTGTTCTCATGACTATGAAGAAATTATTTTTTCTTAAAACTTAACATGTTCATTTGTTTTAGCATGTCTATTTAGATTCTCTAACTTGCATGGGCCTCATGAAAGCATTAAAACCAAATCTAAATGTCACCGGTGATTTCCAGATAACCTCAGGGCTGTTGGTAGCTTCATCCGCTCATGTTTCTGGCTTCTAGCTTTGCTAGCATTATACTCCTTGCAAAGACTGAATCACAGGTACAACATGGGAGTTTTACAGCACAGGAAACTGATCTTTGAAAGTTGTATGTAAAGCCCACAGACACTACAAATCCCCCGGCTACTCTGTAGTGATACTGTGTTAGTCTTTCAGAGAAAAAAAAAAAATCTTGGCGAGTAAGAAGCATATCTAATTATATCTTTGCTTCATAAAAACTTATCTTTCCAGGAAAATCACACGTTACTAGGTATGTGATCCTTATCTTCCTTCAGTGTTATTCACAAAGTGACCTTGATTATATCTGTATCTTTCTTTGGCATCTACTTTGCAAAAAAAAAAAATAAAAACAGAAATAGGAAATAGGATGTAAAAGCAGAATATTTGTTCTTTTGTATTTGTATAGTGTTCTGTGAAGTGTGATTATAATTTTATTTATTTATTTATTTATTCATTTTTAAGAGGTTTTTGCTATAAGGCACGTGCGCTCGCCACAGACGGAGACAGAGACAGAAAACGAGAAATCACCCCCCTCGGGGGATGGCCACACCGCAATCCCTTCTCCTCCATTCTGTTCTTGGGATCTTGGGCACGCACGCACACACACCTGGCATGAGTTTAAGCCACTGGGTCCAGGACGCGAACCGCGGTCAACTACATGGGAGTCCAGCGACATAGCCATTACGCTAACTGCTGGTCCCATGGTTATAATTTTAGATGGTAACATTTAGGACACTTTCATGTACACGATAAATGTGAAAATAGAACAAATAGCATAATAAGTATTCTGAGATCAAAGGACATGGGATGAGTGCTTTAGGGAAAACAGAATGGAATGAAGGAAGAACTAAATTTTGATTTAGAAAGAGGTTGGGGAAATAAAAAATAATGATTTTCAAATGTATTTCAAGGGGTATCTTAAAAATGAAACCAAGGTAGGAGGTTGGCTTCCTGTCTGCTTTCTTTCTCTTTGATGTTCTGCTATTGCATCAGGGCCTGCAATTTATTAAAATAAAATGTTTATTTATATATATATGCACATACACATACATTCATATACATAAATGCGTGTCCAAAGATGTATATATATATACATATTTAAAAATGCAAGAGTGCATGTACAAAAATCTCTATTTATATTAAAAGTGTAGGTTAAAGTTTGGACAGCATAGGGAGAAGAGGAGTGACGGGAGTGCTGAGACACGTTAGGAAGAGATTCTTTATAAATATGTGCTCTTGCTTTTTCTCAAAAGTGAAACTTCATAATACATTTAAATAATGCCTTTTTCATAAGCTAATGCAGCAAGCAATCAAGTAATTATGCCCTGTAGTATTTAAGTTATCTGTTAGAATTTTATTGCTTCTGAAAATACTTCAAGGTCTTGCAATCATCTTCATAGAAAGTTTTGAATGTTTAAAATAGTATAAAATACCTTTAAGACATGCTCTTTCCT